CTTCCTCCTGCTTGCCAGTGGCAGCTCCAGCAGCAGCCCCTGAAAGTCTAGACAGATATGCCATATGGGAGAATCTTTTGTAAACATTTTTGATCAGTGACTCACAACTTTAAGAAAGGATTATCTTTGTATAAAATGCTCTTTAAATTGTACTTTAAAGACCCAAGCTATTTTCTTAGAATACTGTCCAAATAAGTTAATCACGCACAGATCCAGCAAATTCTATGGCATTGTTCTTACAGAATTTTCAGTTTGCTATTCTCATAGTTGGAGCCATAGCCTTTTAGAGCTTTGGAGGCATTTTTTTAGATAGCACCATTCTTGGTATATGACTTTTCCTGAGTTTTGTTGGTGAGTAGGAAGCTTTTCATTAAAGATGTGGTGAAATAACAAAAGGATTTTCAATGAGATGGGAGACATTTTTGAAGATATAAAAAAATATTTTAAAAATATAACTCAGGGGCTTCCCTGGTGGCGCAGTGGTTGAGAGTCCGCCTGCCGATGCAGGGGACACGGGTTTGTGCCCCGGTCTGGGAAGATCCCATGTGCCGCGGAGCGGCTGGGCCCGTGAGCCATGGCCGCTGGGCCTGCGCGTCCGGAGCCTGTGCTCCGCAACGGGAGAGGCCACAACAGTGAGAGGCCCGCGTACTGCAAAAAAAAAAAAAATATATATATATATATAACTCAGGATGCTGCAGAAAACGTTAACTAAACTTTTTCAGAATAATAGATGCTAAGATTTCTTTTTCCATTGGCAGAACAGAAGAGGGGAGCTGTTTGGGGCATCCTTTTTTAATGAATCCTTTGAGCTTCTTTAGGGGGTCTAACCTGGGACTGGCAGGAAGTTCATGTATTAAGCAAGGAAGATTTAAGTACATTCTGCAACTTTGGCCTTGTAAACTGTGATCATTTTTAAGGTTGAGGAGCATAGTTCCCTGTGAAATGAAGCAAGGAACTTGGCATGTATACATTGTGAGTCAATTTTGACATCAGCCTGGATTGGGAATTGCCTGGAAGGTTTTGGTGTTCGACTGTGGCTACACTTCAGTGTCTCGATCCAGAGGCAAAAGCATGAGCAATATTTCCCTTTGGGCTTTGGCCATTAATTTGTGGAATGGAGCAAGAATTGGAGAGGAAAATTGAAAGGCTGCCTTGGATTTCCTGACATCCTGTTGAATCAAAAAGCTGTGGGAGGCCCTTTCCTTCCTGACAAAGGCCTCATCCCCTCACATGAAATTCTCAGCATCTGTCTCCACGTTAGGGACAGCCCCTCTTTAACCCATACTTGAAGTCGACAGTCACCCCTGAGCCAGTATCTGTGTTCTGCCTATTCCAGGTGTTCTCCAGGCTACTTCCCCTGATTATGTAACTTTGATCAAATCCAGATGCTGCAGAATGTTTGATAGAAGAGGTCAAATGGCATTTGAGAAGAAAAGCATTTCTGTATTCATGACTTTGCTTTAATTTCCTGTGTAGGCCTGGTCCGCGCAAGTCGTGTGCTCATGGCCACGAAGTTGGGACACTGGAGGGGAATGCACACATACTTTTTCAGGACAGCTTGAGGAGATTCCCTCCCCACCCTGTGTACTTTTTCATGTTAGATGATCAATTATATAAGTGTTCGCTGGCTTCTGTATATGATAGTTTTTTTTTATTTTTGTAATTGTTTTCTGATTATAAAAACAATCCACGTTCATTGTGAGAAATATGCCAAAATACAGAAAAGAATAAGGAAAACGTAAAATGTTCGTAATCCCACCACCCCAAGTTAAATTACTGTTAATGGTACAGTTAACATACTACCACGCATTAACTACTGTTCACATTTTGATATAGTTCCTTCTGGACTTTTTTTCAATTTTTATGAAATGGGGGATTGTTATAGTATATTTCCAAGTTATTAGATATTTTTTCAAAAATATTTTGAATGGCTTTACGAATGTATTCTATTTTATCGATGGACCACGAACTAACTTATCTCGTGTTGCTAAATATTGTGTACCTTTCCTTTTCTGTGCTGTTACTTAAAAATCAGTATATACAAATCATTGTGTGGGTCTCCTGGGATAAATTCCTAGCAGTATGTCAAAGGTGATGGAATTCTTTAAAGACTCAGTTCGGTTCACATTTCCAGTTTTTCTCCTAAAATGTTACAGCAATATCTATACCAACTATTAGCATTGTATGAGAGTGCCCATTTCATTGAAGTTTTACCCTGTTAGCCTCAAGAAAATGTCCCTGCCCAATTTCATGGAGAATTTGCATTTCTTTGATTACTAGGAGGGTAGACATGCTTTCTGTGTTTAACGGTAATTTAAATTTCCCGTGTGCTGCTTATTCATAGTTTTGGTCTATTTTTCCATAGGGGAGGGTTTTATCGTTTCCTTTTGATATGCAAGAGTTCTTTTATGTTAAGAATCCTTTGCCTTGGACATATATACACTACCAAACGGCTAGTGGCAAGCAGCCGCATAGCACAGGGAGATCAGCTCGGTGGTTTGTGACCACCTAGAGGGGTGGGATAGGGAGGGTGGGAGGGAGGGAGACGCAAGAGGGAAGAGATATGGGAACATATGTATAACTGATTCACTTTGTTATAAAGCAGAAACTAACACACCATTGTAAAGCAATTATACTCCAATAAAGATGTTAAAAAGAATAAATGAGTAAAGAAGAAAAAAAAAAAGAATCCTTTGCCTAATAATTTTACTTAATATCGACGTAACGGCAGTAGAAGCTCTTTTGACTTGCTTTCACCGAACTGACTTGCTGAAGCGACCAGCGGCTCGGCTTCCTTCATAACACATGCCTCTCTGGTGCCCATGGGGTAGGGCAGCCGCTCCACTACCACACATTGCTCCCACCACCTGAGTCACAGCCACACCCAGAGCCACTTGTGTTTCTTTCTACACCTCTTTATTTCACATACACTCGTTGCTTTAATTACTTGGTTAATATGAAACCAGTGAAATCCAGATGTGAACAGAGGTTTGTCTCTATGAAAATTTAAGTGAATGTTTTAGATAGCCTCTGTAAATGCAGGTAACTTTTTAAAAATTGCTACAGGACTAGGTGTGAGTGACACACCTATAAACATGGGAAGGGATTGTACTGGGATCACATATCGAATGGCTCCAGCACCTTCTTCCACCTGTAGGAAGCTGAAGTGAGGTGATGCATTATAGGCAGGATGGGAAGACAACATCCAACTGTAAACACATACCCACACTCAAAAGGACAGTCCTTGGCCCTATCATCAGGACTAGCAAATCAGTGTACATTCAGGTGGGGTTAGGGGATCACAGGTTTTAATTTTCAAAAATTCCCTGCTTTGACCAGGTTTTTTTTTGGTTCATCGGTCAATCTGTGATCACGATGGCACTAGATACACTTTTAGAGCTGCTGTAAGTAAGTACTCAGAGAACAGGGCCTAACGCATCACTAAGCCTTTTGCACATTCTAGGAAATGGCAGTGTTACA